AAATAAAAACCCTAATCACTGCCCCAAAAAAATAAAAACATATAATAATGATCAAAATCAAATAAATCATTCATGGTTTACTACCGACAAGCCAACTTGAAAGAATCTCCTAAACTCCCATCCTTCTAAAATATCTTCTCGATAGATCTTGACAATAACGATTGAAGTCAAAAACAGATAGAAGTACCAAGAGGGAGTAAAAAACTGATGAGAGCAAGTTTCTAGAGTGTAGAGCTAGAACATGCTAGAGCCTAAGGATCCATGGAATTCGAATGGAGAGAGACCACAAAGGAGACAGACGAATTTTTGGCCGGAACGAAGGAAACCAGGGAAGTATACCCGATAAAGGAGAAGTCACATTTTACTTTTACTAGAGTTTAAAGGAAACCAGCATGTTGTAAAAATGCATGACTACCCTTTAGTTTAAAAGCTTTTCGGTTGGGACAATCTCTAACAAATTCTAAAACTTTAAAAATTTCAAACTACACCCCAATTTTTAAAACATTGCAGTGGGGGCTGAGGTTAAGTTAATTAAGCATGATTAATGTAAGATTAGGACTTGATAAAGGACCCTTAAGTACACTTAGGTTGTAGTTACTTAATTAATGAAGGACCCTAATCATATGGATTAATTTAAGTTGATCGAGTTAAGACGTACGTAGTTAAAAGATTACCCTAGCTAATCAAGCTAGCATTGTTAACTTTTCTAAGAGAGGCTTGAGTAGAGAAAGAGGTGCTTGTATAGTGTAACTGTGTAAGAGAACGAAAGTGCTAGGTGAAGAAACCTCTAGGGAGAGAAAGCTTTAAGAACTACAAGTGTCCCATCTATACATATATATGTGTCGTGTAATTATATATATCTTGTAATTAAACAAAGAGAAAAAGAGGAGTTTGTGTAGAAAAAGACGTGCTTGTGTAAAGAACGAGAGAAGACTGAGAGAAAAGAGGAAGAAAAGAGAGAGAAATTCAAGGAAGTAATCTAGGGTTTGGAATTACTCCCAAATTAGATATGATTCTTGGTTTTAAATAAATCGGAAAGAACTAGTTAATAACCACCAAGAAAGAGAAGTAAACAAGCAATCCTATTCTAGTTAGTTTAATTATGAGGCTAGGAATATTTCACGTGATACGAACCTTAGAGTTGCTAATAATGGAGTTTAAACACTATCCAAAATTTCAGAAAATTCCAGACAAAAAGTGTTTTCAGGATTATAAAAATGACTTAAAATGGATTGATGATTATTAAACTATGAAGGTTTGAAATAGATTAGTAAAAGGATCTTTTGGCTTTGGTTTCATGCAAAAAAAATAAAATCTCGAATTTTGATGAATTTCTAAAGTAATCTTGAAACCTAAAAATCTGCAGCTTATGCTCGGTCTTACAAGTTGCTTTGAACATGTATTTGATCTCCAAAAATAGTAATTTTTGGTGAAAACGAAGTTCTTTGAGTCTTAGTTGCCACTAGCCTTATGAAGGTTCAGCTTGGTTACGAAGCTTTTAGAGTGCAAAGGTCTAATCTAACAAATTATGGAAATAATGCATAAACGGAAACTTTAAATGGGATTAAAACCGAAATCTTGGACTTATCGACCAAGAGGTTTAAAGGACTGAAATTGATGTCTTTCCTCTTACTTGGAATGAGAAGAAAGGAATAAAAATAAGTACACGATGACAATCATTAGGGTCAATAGTCAACATATTAAGTACTTACGAATAAGAAGTACTACATATTTATTGTGCAATGAAAGTAATGTGTATGAAATATGTGTAGGATTTGTTAAAGGGAGTCAATAGTTAAAAAGCCTAGTGAAGAACTAAGGTGAGTAATCTTATACTGTGGAGTGGAATTTTGATGCTTAAATCTTTTCTAAATGTTACCATATGCTTATTTGAGAAATTATGTATTGATTACACATTTGTGATGCCGTGGATTATCAAATAACTTAAAAAGTGCCTTTGTATTACGTGTCAATGCCATAATAGGTCCCCACCGAGCAACTCAAATCCTGAAAAGGTCCGAGCCAACGGACTCAAATCTGGTATGGATCTGATCCAATAGGATCAAATCCGAAGAGCATAAAATAAGAATGGCTTGAGACTAAGGCTGCCAAGCAAATTCTATGTATCAAATTTTGGATTGATTTCTCATTCCAATTGATAGTAGTCCATTCAATAAATTCATTCCATGCTTGGATTGCCAGAAAAATCCACTAGTGAGCATAATATTATTCCAAACACTTGATGAATAAGTGCACTCAAAAACAAGTGAGGATAGGTTGGCTGCATAAGATTGAATTCTATCGAGGGTACTCAGTCTGGACCTTACAATTAACCAAAGGATAAAACTCATTTTAGGAACAACATTCCCAAACCAGACAAGCTTATACCATGGAACTGGGAAACTCTTCTGTCTAATATGCTTTCAAGCTGAAAAATTGAGAAGTTTGAATTGGAAGAGGAAATCCAGTTGACCTTGTCCTCAGTTGAAGGGTTGGGAAAATATGAGGGTATTGTGCTGGTAATAGCGTGAGAGGAAGAGGAGATAGAAGGTGGCCATTGACAATAATACTTTTAACAAGAGACTCTTTTGACCGTCCCTTGTCTTAGAGAAAATTAGCTCTGCATACAAACATCAAAGGGCCAAGAGGGTGCCAGTTGTCATACCATAGCATAGTGCCTTCACCATTGCCAATTGTATGGACCATAGGTGGTCGAATAGTCCCTCTGAACTTCAACAAATTCTGCCAATTCCAAAAGCTAAACTGCCAATTCAACACATAAATATTGTCAAACCTCAGTTTTGTCTAATAGTAACAATAACAATAGGTTAAACCGTTAAAGCCGGACAGGTCGATGAAACAAAGGCATAAGAGGATCATCTCTCAACCGGATTAATGATGTTTTGCCGGACTAAACATGATGTCAAGAACTGCCAAGCTACAAGCTGGTGATTTTCCCATGAATCAGTCCTCTTTTTATCAAATTCCGATCAGCCCACTTCTGTATATATATCGCTCTTTGTCACAGTTTATCTTTATAGCTATCAATCTCTCTCTCTCTCTCTCACACACATACACACATGGAGATGAGGAGGCTCTCTCTGTTTCTGGTGCTTTGCTCAATAGTGTTAGCCATGCCGGCAGTGTACGGCACTGCCCAAGGTCCAAAAGAGGTTGAAGAATGGTTCCAAATCCAAAAGCTTCGCCGTGTAAAGGAAAAGGTGACAAAGCTTCACTTCTACTTCCATCAAAAACTTAACGGCGAGAACTTAACTGCCGCAACGGTAGCCAAAGCCAACATGACCGATACATCACCCACCTTCTTTGGTTTAGTTAACGTGATTGATAATCCGTTAACAGTCAAGCCCCGACGGTCTTCCAATGAGATTGGTCGAGTGAAGGGACTGTACGCTGCAGCCTCACTAGAGGAAGTGGCCCTATCTTGTGTCCTTAACTTCGTCTTCACCAAGGGAAAGTACAATGGCAGCTCTCTAAGCCTATTGGGTAACGACCCGTACCGGCTTCCCGTCCGGGAGATGCCCATCGTCGGTGGGTCTGGTGTTTTCCGACTGGCTCGTGGAGTTGCTAAGTTTAGGACCTATTTCGTAGGCTTAGGGGCACCTCCTCAAAATGTTACTGTGGAGGTGGATATTGTGGCCCTGCACTACTGAGTTAAGATACTCAACACAAATTAAACGGGGAAAAAATGAGAATAAAAGAGGCAAAGGATGAAACTTGTTTGATCGATCTCTCTCTCTATATATATATGTATATACCTCTCTCACATGCAAATTAAATATTAGGTCTGGCGTGTGAAATTTTTTAATTATTTGGTATGATTAAACAAATAATTTCTTGTTACTCTGTTAATTCATTATCTACTCTAAAAATTTAAATTATAAAAGATGAAATAATTTATATATTTATATGTCAATATTCTTTATGAACATAAGTCTATACTTTTTCACCGAGTGATTTTTAAACCTAAAAATCTAATCTTATTTGTCAACTTAATTTACTATGATTTTTTGATTGACTGTAAACCTGTTAAATATTTGAACTTATTCTTAATTCAATGATTATAATAAAATTATAGCATTAAGTAAACAAATAAAATTAAATAATAATATTATTGAGATTTAATTTACTAACTTAATTTGTTGACCTAATTCAATATGACATTTGAATTAATTGTGGGTTCCATCAAACATTGAAATTTGGTGTTTATTCAAAGGTTTCAAATGAAACCATTAAGTCAATAAATTATGTCAGTTTTTTAGGTCTAAATAATATTTTCCAAAATTAAATTTTGAAATCTAAATAGCATTATTTTTAAATAATTGGCTTACGAGAGAGAGAGAGAGAATCACTTTTGTCTAAACGATAATAAAACCCGAAAGATCCATTAAAGAAATAGGTCATAAACGTAGCAACTCCACGAGCCAGTTGAAAAACACCAGACCCACCCACGATCGGCATCTCACGCACCGGATGGCATAGTGGGTTCTGGCCCACTAGGGTTAGAGAGCTATCCTTGTACTCCCCTTTTGTACAAGCGAAGTTAATGGCACAAGATAGGCTCACGGTTCCCCTCTTCAAGGGAGGTCGCAGAGTGCAAACCATAGGCTCGACCAACCTGCAGCTTGGGAAGAGCTTTGGGCTCAGCTGTCACAGGATCATCAGTCACGTCAAATACGCCGAACGTGGTCGGCGATCCCTCCGTCGTGTTGGCTGTGGCCACCCTTGCTCCAGTTAGGCTTTTGCCGTCTAGTTGTTTGTGGAAGTAGAAGTGAAGCTTGATCATTTTTTCCTTTTCATGGCTGAGCTTTTGGAACTAAGCTTCAACCTCTTTGGGACCTTGGATAATTCATGTCCTCTTCTCTTTGTTTACAAGAACGTTTTGTAATTTTTATTTTTTAATGGTAAAATCTTATTGCTTTACTTCATATGTCGACCAAAGCTTGTAGATTCTTTTTGTTATATTAAATAACTACTTATTATCTGTGTTTGAAGATACAAAATAGTAAAAAAAAATATCAATTATAAACATATTTTTATTCATATCCAAAATTAAAACACAAAAATTAAGAAAAAATAAAAGAATTTAAACATCAGTTGCAATGAGATGAGCAATGGTAATGGTAGTAGGCGACAATGGTGATGAAGGAAGACGATGATGGTTGTGATGGGCGACGATGACCGTGGTGGTTGTGGTGACAACAGTGGGTGGTAACGGTGATGGTGGTGATGAATTTTGGGTGACGATAAAAATAGTGGCAGCTATGCAAAACGGCAATGGTGGTGATAGGCAATGATGATGGTGGTTGGCAATGGTAGTGGTATGAAAACAGTGGTGATGGTGGTGAGTATTGACGATGGTGGTGGTGGGTATGAGTGGTGGTGAGTGACAACGGGTGCTTGCAAGGGACAGTCATGGTGGGTGGTGGAAAATGGCGGGTGGTGGTTATAGATGTTAGGGGTATAACTTGGGTTGGGTAACTCGATTTTAACTCAAGTCCAACCCGAAAAAATTAGAACTTGGGCAAGAGTTTTTAATACTTGGGTTGGGCTTAGGTCAAAAAATTTCAATCCGAATTCAATTTGGGTTTGGTTCAGGTTAAGGCCTCGTGAACTCGAATTTAACCTGAACCTGACAAATTAAAAAAAAAATTATATATATATATATATATATATATATATATATATATATATATATATATATATATATATATATAGTACTGATTTTTTATTTTTGTTCTATCATTCTCTGTCTCTCTCATTCTCTTTGCCTCTCTCGTTCTCTCAGCCTCTCTCGTTAAAAATTTGGTTGAAGTTATTGATTTTTAATTTAAGTGAATATTATGTAGTATTAAATGTATTAGGTTTAGAACAACAAGCATATTTTGGGCTCTACCCGAATTCAACCTGAACCCGCCCAAATTAAACTCGAGCAATGCTCGGATTGAGTTCTCCAACTCGAGGTAGGGGTAGGGTTAGGGTTAGGGTTAGGGTTGAAGATTATATATCTAGGACTGGGCTAGGGTTGATTGTCCAATCCGCCCAAATTGCACTCCTAATAGATGTGGTAAGGGTGGGTGGTGGCGGTGGTGGGCGATGATAGATGATGGTGGTAGGTGCAATACAGGTGGGTAATAGTGGGTCTAGCGATGATGGTGGGCGACGATAAGTGGTGGTGGATTGTGGTAGTGGATGACGACAGTGATAAGTAACAACAGGTGATTGTGGGTTGTGATAGTGAGTGGTGGCGAATGGCGGCGGTGGTCATAGATGTGGTGGGGGGGTGGCGTTAGTGATAGACAATGACAAGTGATGGTGGTAAGTGTAATGGGGGTGGGTGGCCTCGGTGGTAGATGATGACGAGTGATGGTGGCAGGTGTAATGGGGATGGTGATAATGGGTGGCGACGATGGTGGACGACAATGGGTTATGGTGGGTTTGGTAACGGGTGATGGTAGTGGTGGGCAACTGTGGTGGGATAATGGTGGTAGTGATAATAAATATAAAAATGAAATGAGGAAGGTGGTGAATGGTGGCATTGGGTGGCAGTGATAGCAACCAGTGGTGGTGATAATGGATGGGGTTGGTGGTGGGGTGGCGGTGGCGGTGGTGGTGGGGTGGCAGTGGCGGTGGCGATGGTGAAATGTTTTAAAGAGAATTGATTTTAAAGAAGTAGAGTTTTTTTTTTATATACTTTTATTTACTTATTTATTTAAATGGTAAAACTATTTTTTACCTATTTGGAAGTAATTAAAATAAGTTGTTCTAAACACTATTTTTTTTTTTAAATCCTAAAAGCACTTTTAAAAAATCACCTCAAATACACCCTTAGAAAACCAATTTTTTCAATTAAATTTAAAAATTTAATATTAGTCATCGAATTAACTTTAAAATAAAATTTAAAATATTCTCAATCTTGAAAAATAAAAATTATTTTTTATATTATATTTTATTAAATAGATCGAATAATAACTCCAAAGTCAGAGTCAAAGTCATCTCTAAAGTCCATTACGTAATCTAAACAAGGGTATCGTGCTATCTTTTAACAGCACATTTCATATCACAAGATACAACTAAAAAACCCAAGTTGATGCTGAGTTTCCAATACAAATACATATGCCAATAATCTTTTGCTCAATGGATGCCCCATGAAATTCTCCAAAAAAAAAAAAAATCATACTAGATTTGAAATACAAGTCATACATAACAAAATTATTAACTATAATTTTAATTTTAATTAGTTCGAGTTATAATCATATTAACCTACAAGACCAACTTTATAATGTGATCGATACACACTCTAGTATATAGGACAGAAATATGACTATACAAGATACAACCTCGATTATACACAATTACAAAGTGTGTTGTACCAAGGTTGAATCTATTTTACATGATTTAGATACAAGACAAACCTAGTACGTCACTGTCCACGACCACCCATTTTTCTCATAATATATTTATAAAGTCAACAAATTGTGTTGTAACTTTAACCTTATTTTTTTTTAATTCTGATACCACATCAAAAAGTAATTTGAGGATCTATAGTCATACCAAGAAATGATATGCTTATAACAATTTTAGGTTTGAAGTAGGTATTATATGGGTAAGGTTAAGTGCAGTCTACTTTATATGGGAAAATATTCGACTCTAAAAACTAATATATTTTGAGTAGATGTTTCTGCATCATTAATTTTTCAATTTCGAAGAAATACATTCTTAAACATGTTGAAGGATGGTTAAATGATCAGAGTAGTTTGAACTCCATTTGAAAGTGATTTAATGGCAAGATGGTACTGTACTTAACTCAACTCAACAAAATCTCATTTTAATGTTTTTTAGGTCGATTACATAAATTATATTTTGTCATTGAGCTCTATTAAGATCCATTAAACGAAGTAGGCAAAAGTCTTTCAATTTTCATATTTGACTTTTTGAAAAATTTTCCTAATTTTTAATTTCATAAATTGTTATAAAGATTAAGTGGAGTACTTGAATAAAAATTAAAAGGGAAGCGTAATTTTAGGGCTTTGGGGAAGAAAGGATAGGTTAAGGTTGGATGGGGATAAGGGATAGTCGGTGGAGAAAGAAGGAAAATGGAGTAAGGATAATATTTACAATAATAGGTATTTTTTATTTTCTTAAAAAAAATTATAAGGTGAAAGTATATGTTTGAATAAGAATATGTCGGCATGGGAATTACTTGTTTTTGTCCTATTGAATTTACTATGATGTAAATTCCTTTTCACCAGAGCACTTATATGGATAACCAGCTAAAAAGGAAAAATGAGGGGCATGAGAGCCAGCCATGACAAAAAAAACCCTCAAGGCAAGAACAAAGTTCAAAGAGACTAAGACTTACCGACGTCGTTGCATACAGAGTCGTGGTAGTAGAAGAATGCAAAAAGATCGCTCAGACCCTATCAATATCAGACTTTGGGATAACCGAGGCAATGGTCTCAGCAGCGAGGCCTAAATCATCAATGAGTGAACTCTTGCTCATCTCAAACTTTACAGGTAAACCCTCTACCCGTATATGAGGACTCTTCCCAAGAGATCGAGAAGAGGAAGACCCTCATAAGAGGGGAGCCAAGGACTCCAAAGCTCCAGCAACCTTCGCCGACGAGGGGGAGAATGAAGCCCTAACCTGATC